GCCAGGCCCCTTGGCACCGCTGCTCCCTCGGGTGCTCGTCCCCCTGTGCTCCCTGACAACCCCTTTCTGCACCTCCCGTGCCTTTGTTCATGTAAACGATGGCCTTTTGCAGCCAGGATGGGAACGAACAGCAGGTAAAGCTTATTTGTAAGGACGCCGAGCCGACACTGCTATTTAACTTCATGCCATTATTCTCCCCTCTAAGTCCCCTTCAGTTCCTCATGGAGATAAATTACAGTCTGCTGTGCCCAGACTGCTCAGCTGCTAACCCGCTGCCGTCGTGCCCTTTCTTAGTGAAGCGAGACACCCTGCCCTGCCCCGCGCAGCGGAGCTACGGCAAGGACTGATGTGTCTGGGGAGCTGCCCGGCGGAGCGGCTGCACTTCTGTACTGCGATTTTAAAAACACAGAGTGCAGGGCGTGCTCTTTGCCTGTTAATCCATAGGCTTTAATGCAGAAAGTGCCGTCGTGTTCATCCAGGCTGATCTCCTCCGTCCCGACCTCCCAGCACCCCAGACCCCACACCGTCACTTTAGCGACAGCTAATCTTTGTTTGAAACCTTCGAGTTTCTGAACCTCCCACCCCCATTGCTCCCTGGGAAGAGAAAAGTCACTCAAAAGAAGCAATCCCCTTGCTCCATCGCTTCTGGATCATCCCACCGCCAACGGGATGTTAGTGTGGTAGTGGGCTTCGTCAGACCGGATCTGCATAGTCGGGGCTTATATTTGGGTTCTACCGTCGGGTGGCTTCTTCCTCGCCCGTGGGGACTGGTGCATCTTTTCCATTTGCAGGGTTTGGGAGCTAAACTCACACTGTAACAAACTCAGGGAGTGGAAATGCGGAGAGGTAACTTATTAAACACAGCCAACGTGAGCGATATTTCCCTGGGCCCTGATTTATCAGGGGCAGGAAGGGGAGGGGGTGGTTTCAGAGACAGACCGAGCGATCTGATTATTTGTATTCTGGTGCAGAGCGCTAGCTGCTTGGCACGCGCACGACTCACGTCCTTGGGCTCGTCTGCTCGGTTTTGCCCTCCTGTCGAGGCAGAAATCCTAGACGTTGCGCTCCCGGGGCTCCCGCTTTTAAGAAAGCTCAGAGAAAGTCTGAAAAACGAAAGCCAGCGTTTGCACCCTCGAGCAGAGAAATGCCTCGTGACCCCGTTAGTGCCAACGCGGGGAAGAAGTTCAGCACCAGGGTGGTGACCGCAGAGGCCGGCGTAGAAGGGCCCCACGCTAAAACCCTCCGCGCCCAGCTGGGCTCCCGCGGTGCCCGCT